CCTTTTTTTCTTTTTTTTTCTTTTTAATCTGGGCCAGCTTTAGCTCTGAGGCCTCGGCAGCTGAAAACAGGTTTCTGGCCTTTGTTTACCGTCTGTATTTGATACACTGTTGCGGTCCGGTTGGCTGAAGCCCCGCTGGGAACGTTGGAGTCCTCCGTCACTGAAGCAAGCAAGCCTCCCTGTTCACATCAGCTGCCTGGCTGCCGGCCACCATCTTGGCTGCCAGTTAATTTGCATATCTCGCTGATTAGCCAATGGGAAGGGTAGTGGTCATACTCCAATTATCATGTTTCTCTTTTATTAGTGCACCCTTCACCTGCCTCATTTAATAACTTCACCAGGTATACCTTTAAACTAAAAAAAAACAAAAAACCTCTCTGCCATATTTCTCCAATTAGGAAAGATAATCCAAAAGCACTGGCTTCCTTATGGTTTGTGAGATGGAAAAAGTAAAGGCCATTATATTTTCTTTTGACCCCCGACTGTTCACTTAAACACTTGGTTCCAGTTATCCTTGGGATGGCAACAAAATGGAAGGTACTGATCATGGACTTCCTTGATCATTCTCTTGGAGATTACACGTGTGTAACAGTATGTGAGAGCATATGTGTTTGCATGTGTCTGAAAGGAAAATATATAATCTGGATTCAACAAATTCCAAATTGACCAAATTATTTTTATTTACTAAAATGTTATGATATAAAACTAACTGCATAGTTAGATACAGATTAGGGTCTTACAATTCTAAATTCTAGCATGCTCCATTTAGGCAGCAAAGGGTCTGGATCTGTTCAAGGTCATGTGAATCTCAGGTTCATAAATCTTGGCTTGTCTCATTCCGAGTTCTCAACATTGGCTGTTCAATAGCCAGACATGCTTGTGAGATTTGGAGGGAGGTCAGCAGAGATTTAAAAAGAAGCTCAGAAGTCCATTGTATCACTCACTGTAAACCTACGCATTTGAAATTTATTTTTCAGGCTTATCAATTCAATTTCTTTTTTTTAATATTGCTGCTTCAAATGTGTACATTTACTATCAAGTGTCTAATATTCTAGATATTTGGTGGAAGCCATAATGAAGAAGCAAAAATAACAAAAAAAAAAGCAACATAAAAGCAGCCCTCAGGCCCCACTCCAAGGCAGGAGGTGGAGGTGGGGCAGGAGGTCCATGTTGCAATCTGTTTACTGCTAAAGCGCTGCTTCACTGTAGGGTATTTATCTCCACTCTTTTTAAGTTCAGTGTATGAATCCCAATCAAAACGAATTAATTCAGAAATAAACATACTGTTCCCAAGCAGAGGCAAGAAAACACTGTTTTCCATTCCAAAAGGCTCATTCTTAACTTTGTAGTCCAATGACCAAACCTTTAATTATTTCATTTTCATCCAATACTACATAAGGTAAGATTTCTCTATAACCATGTTGCTCTAAGCTTGGTGGCTCTTCTGAAATACTAGCCAGTGACATTCAGAGGAACCATATTTTAGATTCTATTCAGGGTCTTAAGCAGTAGAGTAATTTTGTCTCCCAGCTCAGCAAGGTTAAGAAACCTGACATTTTCAAATGATTTTGATGGAATTTTTTCTTCTTCTTTCCAGATAGGATTACTTCATTGAAAGAATATCCCTGAATCCCAATCATTTTTAAATAACACCTTGTGAATGGGATGGGGACAGGGGTAAAGGAAGTGGGTTTTGGGGGAACACTGATCAAGGATACTTAGTTTCTTTTTGCCTTTGGGAGGGAGAGAATGGTACATTAAAATAAATACCAAATAGACATTGATGAAAGTGCTTAAACATAATGTCAAATAAATTAATAAATTAATTAGTATAAAATAATAATACCTCTATACAAAAAGTAATCTCATATCCCCAATTTTATGTCCTTCTAAAGTTTACACTTAATTAAATCAGGTTATTTGTTTGTATTCACACAGATGGCTAACGTCACCTCTGCAATTCATTCCCGGGTAAATTTATCACACAAAACGGGAACAGTCATTTTTCAAAGTATACAAATACTGGTTACCATGGCAACCCCTTGGAGCCCTCTGATTCTGTTTTCAGGGCAAAATGTTAACCACAGGACATTCCAGCTGTGAGTCATTGCAACTACTGGCAAGCATTGGCCCTGCTAAGAGTATGATTTCCCCTCTTTGGAAAGCCTAAACATCAACTAGGTCTGAACAAATACGTTGAGGTTGGAATTAAATCCATATAAAGGCAACCAATAGAAATTAAGAAGAGAAAGAGTGAGATTCTCACTTTGAATATGCACTTCTAATTTGTGTAACTGTGTTTAGAGGTGTGTTTTTTAAATACCTGAAGTGATGCTTATATTTTTAAGTTAGCCATTAAATGTATCTTCAAATGTGGATATGTATCTACACAAAACCTCTTTTGTAGAATGTTTTCAGTTATTCCCTTAAGGAGACTATTCATTTAGGATTTTTGTGGTTTGGATCCTTCCCCCACTATGAAATATCTCAACCACTCTTAGGACATTCAAAGAGGAAGGAAATCTCTTGCCTAGCCACATTTACCAATTTCTATCTACTTCCTTTGATAATTTGATACATGCATAGGCTATCAGACCATTTGTGACTTCAGACTCCAGTTGCAATATAAAATGATTTGTGGATTCCTACCAAATATTAAGTTGAAAAATATGAAACCAAAAACGCATCACTGACAGAAAACGTACCTTACAATTTCTATAAGATTAAGGGTTTTATAGGTACTTTAGGAATCATTGGAACTCAAGTCTGGAGGAGCCCAGTCAGCTAATGTGCACTTCAGCCTGCTCTCTCAGTGGGGATCAAGTTCATGAACTGTAAGGACTCTCAGAACACAGTGTACTTTCAAAGTGTCTCTTGCTGCTTAATTATTGGGATGTGTGTGTAACTGGAAAGAATAAAATTATCTCATATGTATGAGATTGGGATGTATATAGACTAACTTCTAAACACATTTTAGAAACATGGTAACAACTAAAACTCAGGGCTTTCTATTTCAGATTGGAATCTAATTCATACTTTTAAAAACTATTGTTTTTCTTATTTACTTGAAACTTTTCTGGAAAGACATTCTTTTTTATAGTAGAGTACTAATTTTAAGAACTAAATAAATATAGTAAATGTAGTTAAATTAAACCAAAAGTTTCTTTGGGGTAATGTCATTAAAATATGGAGACACTTCTGGAAAAAAAATTTTTTGGTCCATTTTCTATTATAAATCTTTAAAAATTCCAAAAACTTTATCCTTCAGAGTTTAATATGTAATTAAAATAACTTATCTGGGAGAGTTCTAGGTGTAATAATTGTAGAGAACAAAAATTCTAGTCAGTATAAAGAAAGATAGTTAAATTTCTGAGGACTATACATAATGAGTTCATACAGTGGTGTGTTTTTTCAGTCAATGTCACTAATAG